TCTTGACGTATTCGATTTCAAAATCAAACCCCACCAATCGCAGAGCCCAGCGCTTGAGTCTGGCAGCTGTGCGTTCCTGTAACCCCTTTGTGTTCGAAGTTTTGAACAGAGCAAGCAAAGGCCGATGATCCGTTTGGAGCACGAAGTGTCTACCCCAAACGAATTTCTTGAAACGTTCGACGGCCGTGACGAGCGCGAATGCTTCTTTCTCTACTTGGCCGTAGTTACGTTGAGCCTTCGTGAGTGCTTTCGACATGTAGAATACGGCCCGTTCGCTCCCATCGGGGTAACGTTGAAGAAGGACGCCGCCGACTGCTGACGGACTTGCGTCTGCGGCAACTACAAGCGTTTGACGAGGATCGTAATGAGAGAGCAGCAGAGGATCGCACGACGGAGAACCATTAACAAGCGTGTCTCATGAAGGGTGTTGTCAGGTGCCATGACGAGGATGTCATCGAGGTAAACAAGAACCCCTTCTATCCCGGCGAGCGCTTGGTCAATGGTCTTCTGAAATATCGAGGGAGCTGTCTTGAGGCCAAAGATAAGACGAGTGTATTTGAAGAGGCCTCGATGAGTGTTGATCGTGGTCAGCGGCTGACTCGAATCATCCAAACGCAGCTGGAGATAGGCATCGGCGAGATCGAGCTGAGAAAAGACTCGATTACCGGAGAACTTTGTCATGACCTCTTCCATATTCGGTAGAGGGTGTTCAATGTCTACTAGAGCCTCGTTTAGACCAGTTGAATAGTCTGCACAGACTCTGATAGCCCCACTCGGTTTCTTGACGACTACTATCGGAGTTGCCCACTCCGAAGTGTCTACCAGCACGAGAGTACCGTTCTTGACGAGTCTGTCGAGCTCTTGGTTGATTGGCTCTTGGAGTGCGAGAGCCACCGAACGAGGGCGGAGATGTACCGGAACGACGTTGTTTCGAAGGTGAAGGTGCACTTTCAGTTTGGTGCAGGTCCCGAGTCCAGACTTGAACAGATCGGGAACTTGGTTTCCAAAACCTGCGCACTGATCGCGTTGACAACAACGACGTTGTTACCGAAATTCCAGGTCACCAAATGCAGTTGTTTGAGTAGGCGGCCACAAAGGAATTGACCTTCCCACTAGCGAGCACAAGGAGAGGCTCTACAACTGATCTGTTTCCTAGTCCGAATTCGGCGTCGAAGTAGCCTTTAACGTTGAGGGTTCCGCCGTCGACATGCGTACACGAACTTCCATAAACGTCCAAAGACGGAGAACCGAGAGCTCTCCAGGTTTCGAGGTTGATTGTGGAAATGTCGGCGCCGGAGTCCGCCCGGAACTTCACGATCTTGCCATTAACTGTGACCTTCACGACCGTGCGACCTTCGTCGAGCTCGGCCTGGTTGAGCGTAGAGTGGACTCGCACCTGACTGCTTTGCATTGATCTGCACACCTTCGCGATGTGTCCGGTCTTTTTGCAGGCGTTGCAAGAGGAGTTCTTGAAGGGACATTCCCTGCGAGGATGATCACCTGCACAACCAGCACATCCGCGTGCAGACAGAGACTTCTGAGGTTTCTTGGTCTCATAACGCCGCATCACCGTTCGTAGATCTTCCAACTTGATGTCCGGTTTCTCGTCGACTGCTCTCATGATGACGCCCCGTAGGTTCTTGTAGGAAGGGTCCGAGAGATGCAGTAGCATGATAAAGATGTTGAAATTGTCCAAGGTGAGCTTGCTGAACTCGGAGTCGTCACCGTAGAACTTCGTCGAGTTGACGATTTCCTCGACGAGTTTACCTGGTGCGTGACGTACTGACAACGTGTCATGTTGGCGACGAAATAGGGACTTCGATTCACCGAACATCGATTTGAGTTCTGCGACTAGTTCGGTGTATGTCTTATCTTCGGGATGTACAGGTGACGTTCGACCTCGTAGTTGGTTGTACTCCTTCGGCCCCAAGGCTTTCAGGAGGAGCTGAAGACGCTCCTCGTCAGATGCAATGAGAATCGAGATACTTTCCATTGTGTCTGAACCAGCGTTCGAACGTTATCCCATTATCAGGATCGTACTCGAAGACCAGCGAAAGGACGTTGTTGAGAGCAACGACTCTGTCATCGCTGATTGATACCTTCTCGTCCTGCTTCTTAGACATCACCTCTAGGAGCTCCGTGAGCTTCTGCACAACCTCTTCCATGACGTTGAGGTTCCTCGACGAGGGTTCGAATGGTTCACAAAATGGTTCGAATTAACTGCGACTGCGCCAATTGAAGGGATCTATGCTAGTCGGTGTGATACGAGACCGGGGTTAGGTTGAACTTCGTTTTTACCCTTCGACGGGAGACTCTTATATACTTTATATTGTGAGATGTGGACGAAGCCGATTGGCTCGGCACCGAGAGCGGTATCGGTGCACCCTACAAGAATGATATCCACCCGGGGCAGTCCTATGAAGCACGTTGTTGCTGTTCATTGACTCTTCTATTATATCCACGCCGATGACGTCAAGGAATGCCGCGTGATCGACAGTGTCGCCGACTGCAGGGACCTGCAGAAAACAGTTGATGACTTCTCACAGTCGCCTGCCTCCATGGAACTCCGACTGTCATCCGAAATGTGCTCTACTCGGAATCGGCCGGATGTTGACCCTTTCCAATACAGCATCTGCGGTTCTCCGCTGGAATGCCTCCGTACCTTACGAGTCGTACAGCTTCACATAGACGTCCGGGTTTCGGATTGATGAACCATGAGATCGTTCTCGTCACTGTTCTTGTTGTCGCCGGGAGATTGGATGTCGGATCGACGACTTCCGCTTCGAACACTCACGGACTGGCTTTATGGTTCTGCAGGTCGGTAAAGGTATAGACGCAGACGTTCGTCATCACAGACGCCTGGCGCTTCACGAATCGAAGATTCGGCCAACTCCGAGCTCAAGCGACGAGCGCTCTCAACTCAAGAAGCTCCTTCCCAACTGCTCAGAACGGCGACCGTCACCATATGCCTCGGAGATTTGCAAAAGCTACCTCTCAACCTGGCAATGAAAATCTACGACATGAAAATCATGGCCATCGTACGGTACGGAATGTCGACGATAGCGCCACACCTCGCCAAGACCACGATGACCGAGCTCGACAAGAGCAAGACAATCTTCCTGAAAGCGACCCTCGGACTCAGCAGGTACACGTCAAACACATTCGTGCTAGCACTGGCAGGAGAGAAAACCCTCTGCGAAGACTTGAGCGAGCTAGGGTACAGATTCAACGACACTGCATGGAACGAGTACAGGGAGAGCCTTAAGATCAAGAGGGCCAAACACCATAATGCAGGCTTCACCACCGGACCAGCGTTCACCGGAGAGACATGGAAGAATGCCAACCAGAAAAACAGGGCCTACATATGCCGCGTTACGTACCACGGCTATCATCACGAAATCTGCCAGAGAGCGGACTTCTTCGAGACAATAACTGACTTATGTACTTTTAAATACTGTGGAATGGAGCGGATAGACCGCCACCACATCTTGAATTGTATATATTTTCAAGACAAGACGATCAGCTCAATCGTTCGAGAGATATCAAACCACTGCGGGTAACCTGCGAATAAATCACTTGTATTGTATTTAGTTGCGACCGAGCTCCTTTAGTTGTACCTGAGGCGTACACCATGTACCACAGCGAGTCAGGAGCCGCAGAACGATTTCTACTCGGCGGTTCTGGCGTCGGGGATGAAAAGCGGATTCTGATCTTCGGTCGAGAGACGGCTGCTAAGTGGTTGGGTTATTTACAGCGAATCCACGTTGATGGGACTCTCAGTCTAGCACCGGGGAGGTTCGAGAAATTATTCGTGATCCTCGCTGATCGTGGAGGGTTCGTGATCCCGTTGAGCTACGGGCTGCTCCCGGAAAAGTCCGAAGACTCGCATCGTCGCATGCTCGACCCAATCATGGAAGCTTTCCGTGCTCTTCATCCTTCGTCAATCGCTTCGGAACGGGTCTCATGAACGCTTTCAGCGCGGTATTCTCAACCGCCGAATTCCATGGTTGTCTCTTCATCTTGGTGATGATTATGAAGAGAAAAGTTGCATCGTTCAATCTCCTCAGACTCAGACGTTCCAACAAGGATTCGAACTTCTCTCTCGGGGCTCGGATGATCTCGGCGATGGCTTTCGCGAGAGGAGACTCGTTGGACAGTTGATGATAGATCTGCTTGAAGTCTTGCTAGAGGAACTGAGACCCAGATTCACCTACTTCGAGCTCACGTGTGTCGGTCACATACTGAGCGTTCGTCTGGATGGGACGCTCATCAGGGAAACTGCTGTTTCACAGGAAATGTGGTCCGTGCGGAAGCGGCGCATCGGAAACTGCAGGGAGCATTCCGCGTCTGTCATCCTCCGACTCGGAGGTTCCTCTTCTGCCACCGAACGATTTATCGGTAGCATCGCTTCAATAGCTTCCCAGTCTGAATACCCTTTGACTTGAAGCCGAATCGGATTCGGCGCCGAAGCATCCAGCGCCGAAGCATTCAGCGCCGAATGATCCGGCGCCGAGTTGTCCTGCTCCGTTTTGACGGCGGAATTCTCTACACAACTTTCACAACTCAGAATACTGCGTCGCTAACACTTTGTGCTCTCAAGCTCCGTGTATTCAAGGAGAGAAGACTTCAATGGGGGTCCATCGATTCTTCCGCAGGACGAAATCGCCAAAACGTTGGGGTTGGGAATCCTCGAACATCCCTCGCAACGATGTCACCCAAGAGATTGCACAGTCGTCCAGCAAGAGACTCAGAACCCCTCTGTATACCGTGCTCGGAAGTACACCTACCAATTTGGTCTAACACCGAACGAACGCCATCGATCTCATTTACTGATTCTTGCTCAACAATGAAACCGGCAACCAGCGGCTGAAATGTTTATCAAAGCCTATACATGTCACGCACTGTACGAGCCGGCACAACTGCCGAACTAAGCAAAGAGCCACCGGCACTATATGCCAACCTCTTTTATCGATCTTTAACGTCCATAGTCTCATCGCATACAATCGCGATCGATCTTGTTCCTAGGAAACGTTCCTTCGAAGCTCTGACTCGAGCTTTGGAAGCCTCAGGCAAGTAGTCCCGGAGATGGTTGCGGGCTGAAGGTATAGAGCCAGGGACCCTTAGGCTCGGCTCCAGAAACGTTATCAAGTTTACATTGTCGAGATTGTGCAACGGTATTCTCGCGACCGCGAAGGCTTCGACCAAACCCACGAGCGCGATTTGTCTCTATTCACCGGCTTCACTGAGTTCACCGAAAGCTCATACTTTGATTGAACGGGAGATTCGCCCTTCTCGATGAGAACTCTCGCAATGAGTGGTCTCCCTCCTTGTGTCTTAGGGTCCCAAGGTGTTCTGCAATGGCATCCCCCCACGTGTACTCGACGAAGAAGTTGCATGAGCTACAGAATAACCGATCTGAAGAGCCATGAGATGCTTTGTCAGTGAATTTCTTTGCTCGCTCTCCGGGGTAGACGTGAAGGGCCCTTTGACTTCGCTTGCGGGCGCTCATTTCTCACTCTGATCGCTCATGTCTAGGTTTTGCAGCGGGGAGGATCCGCCGCTATTTCGAGGAGAAAGTTCTGTGTCTCAAGGGGTGGAAGCGTCGGCACCGGCATCCCGGTTGGAAGCTTCTGCATACTGAGGCGACCAATGCTTTGCGAGTCAAACATCAGCGTCAATCAACTCGCGACTTCGGAAACAGTGGAGAGGTTGCTAAGCGAAGGGTGGTTCTTGAGCGAGTATGCAGAAATCGTGAGAGAGAAGCTCCGTCCTCAGCTGCGCGAATCTCGCACGGAAGTTTCGAGATCGTCCTTCGGCGTGCATCTCTTCGAAATTCTGAAATACGTCGCGAGTTTTCCTTGATGCTCCACAGGCTTCAAATCATGCATTTCGTTCGACGAGGCAGCGATAGTCGTAGAAGACCGCTACTTGACTCTGGATGTGCACCATACAGAACCGATCCTCGGCAGCCCGAAAGTCGCAGCGCTTGGGCTGATCAGGCCGGATGATAGAGCTACCGGAGAGATCCTCCGAGATATCATAAACTCGCGGCTCGATAGTGTCGGCCTGTCGACGAGAGATCTCTAGGCCGATGCTAGAGACTCATTCGCCTTCGACTCTGCCGTCCTCTCGGATACGGACGGAGTCGGTTTCGGAATGGGAGAGAATTCAGACGACAAGCGATTCAGACGATGAGGCAACAATTCGAGACGATCGAAGAGTCAGAGCGGATCCCAGAAGCTTCTTTCAAGAAAAAAACAATGAGACGGATGGAATCATGCGGCATGCTGACAGAGTATTCGTCCTCCCGCTGCGCGATCTCAGAGGATCGACACCCATAAAGACCCTTCACCGGAATCGGACTACGAGAGTAGATGTAGCCGAAAGGAAGACCGCTCTCTCGAGTGTATGGGCCATTCTCGAGAATCCTCGCTCCGACTTCGCGTTGCAAAACGAATTCGGTCAGAAGAAACCATCAGAGAGAGGAATGATTCAAATCCTGGAGAATATACTCAGTGTTGAAGGAAGCTTTGCTACCCTGGAGCCTGATGCCGATGAGCCTATCCGGGCGAGTTCATTCCACTCAATCATCATTCATGTTAAGTCTACGTATCAGAGTTTCTGAGCTCAAAGCTCAATCATCTGAGCACAGGAAACTCTGGGGAGAAACTCAGGGTCTCTTCTCCGCTCCATCGAAATCATTCGCATCCGACCCTCGATGATAGTTCCGTACTCCGGAAGGCTTCCCAGCATAAGGCCAAGTAGTGTTGGCCCACGGAGTTATCGGGACCGAAAAATGCTCTTCGGAACCTGACCCGCTGACAAAGCCGACAGTCCTGAGATCCCAGAGGGCCTGTTAAAGAGGAAAATGGGTCTAGCCCGAAAATAAAAACGAGCTCTCACCCGGTCTCATCGAAGGTTGAAGTTGGTATGTACCAGTCTATGGGAGGCAAGATCATCAGGGAAAAAAAGACTCCCAATGGCACAAGACCTAATAGGGTCCCATGGGGGAAGCGAATAAAAATCAGTCAGACTCGAAATCCGGCAGGCACAGTTTTCCCCGTGTTCTCATCGAGAAAATAAATGAAATCTCTCACAAGACCGACTCTCAGGACAGCTCGAGGCATCTCAAGGACAAAAAGGGCAAGTGAATTTTCATGCAGGGTCCCGCCGAGAGAAATCAGAAGCCCGTCAAACATAGAATCTTATTGCCGAGAGGTGACGATGACGATCGATGTCCAACGGTCACGAGACCTCATAGAGTCTTACTGGGAGGGATTAGAGGCCTTCTGGCACGAGGAAAAAAACTAATCAGCGACGAGAAGATCAAGTCCGGAGACCAGAAAACTCACCGGAATACCATCGAGGGAAATACGAGACCGATAGGCATACGATTTCACAGGATTTTGAGATCTAATGAAGTTCCAGTGGAACGATACATACCCTTCGGACACAAGATCTCACGGAAGTCCCCTTGTGGAACAGCGAGATCGTTTATGCTTGAGACGTTATATCGAGACAAGCAGGAAAACACGGGTTTGAGAAAGAATACGACGAGCCCGTCAAAATCCGATGAGAAGGAAAACGAGTAGATTAGTCATTGTATATCATGGGTCCCAACGAGGAAGAACACGAGGCCCAGTATCATCAGCCCTGACAAATCCTCACTGGAGGAATGACTCGAAGAGTGGGGAACGAGATTCCCGGAAATTCCAGTCTATTGTGGACATGAGGAGTGCATTTTTCGAGGAGCGGGTCTGCTCTAAACTCGTTGGATCACACTCGTAGCGCTCCGACAGAACTCATTCGGATTCCCCACCTCTCTATGAGGGGTTACTCAAGTCGTCGAGGCTCGCGCCAGGCTGCTGACTGCTGATCCTCGAGGCGGGAGAGAATTCTCGACGAGTAAACTGTACTCAGACACCGCTCATCAGGAAAATTCATGTGCTTCAGTCATGGAATCCTCGATCCGGAGAGAGAAACGATTCCGTCGCCTTGGGAACATTATTTATCACCGACGACGATGAAATGAAGTATCAGTCGGAATCCCAACGAGGAAAGAACCCAACCCAGGCGAATCCCCACGAAGCTCAGGACAATCAGACACTCGGCGAGCTCTTATTGATTGATAAAGCCTTCCGTTCTACAGATGTCTGGTGTCATATATATGAGAAACTCAAAACACATCAGGCATCAGGCTCCGGAGAAGCGTCGTTACTCTTCCAATTTAGCCAGGTTTAGTCTCCTCTCCCACAGCCTGGTCTATACGTATATTCTCTATTCGAAGCTCTTCCGAACGACTCCACAGTCGTTTGCTTCCCTCTCCACAGCCCGAACGGAGAATACGCTTTCATTTTGGCCGAGAGGATCG